TTTTTTTTTTTACAGTACCGGGGATTGAACTCAGGACCTTGCACTTGTCAGATGCCAGGCAAGCACTTACTCTACTGAGCTATTTCCCCAGCCCCCTTTTGCTTTTTAAAATATTTTTTTAATCTTTATTTATTTGATACAGGATCTCACTACACAGGCCAGACTCATAGTGATCCTTCTGTCTCAGCCTCCCCAACACTAGGATTAAAGGCTTGCACCACCACACCTGGTTTCAATGGCTGGCTCAGCATGCCTGAAGTTCCAGGGCCCACTGGAGATACAGTACCAGAGATCAAACTTGGGTCCTTGGGCTTGCCAGAAAGGAACTTAGACCACTGAACTATCTCCCCAGCCCCTATTTTTTTGAGACAGGCTCTTACCAAGTGTCCCAGGTGGGGCTTGACCAGGCAGTCTTCCTGCCTCAGCTTTCCAGAGTGGGGATTTTAGGGGTACAGACACTCACCTGGCTACCATAGGATTTTTCCAGAATTGTTTTATCTTCCTGGGCCCCAGCCCTATATCAAGATAACAAAAGTATTAACCTTTATCCCATCTAGGATGAAAAGAGTCTTCGTAAAATAACAGGCCCAAACAGACAAGTGTTCCCCCTGCCACCCCTGGGATGTGGTCTTGAGGCGGAGCCCCCAGCTCTGGCAGGAAGAGGCTGTCCATGTCATGGCACAAGTCAGCATCAACAGTGACTTCAGCGAGTGGGGCAGCAGCACGGATGCTGGGGAGCGGGCCCGTCTGCTGCAGAGTCCATGTGTGGACACAGCCCCCAAGAGTGAGGGCTACGCCTCTCCTGGGGACCCTGACAGAGGCACCACCTCCACTCTTGGGGCCATCTTCATCGTGGTCAATGCCTGCCTGGGCGCAGGGCTGCTCAACTTCCCAGCAGCCTTCAGCACTGCCGGGGGCGTGGCGGCCGGCGTCATGCTGCAGATGGTGAGTGCCTGGCTCACAGCAGAGGTACGCTGTGTATGGGCTGTCGGCTCCACCAGAGAGCTCTGGATCAGGTGGAGTCAGCATCCAACCCCCTGTGTCACACGTGGCAGACATTCCCAGCCTGTTCAGCGCCCCTTAGTATGAGCCCAGGAGAGGTCCCCATCAAAGAGACATGAACATCAATGCAAATATAATTTTCTAGGCATTACATGGATTGTATGGTCTGTTTTTTTCTTTTAAATACAGACCCTTTCTTACAGAACTGCTGGACTATTTACTGATGAGATGGCAAGATAGTTGGCATTGGCTTCAGAGAGGAGAGGGAAATAAGAGGCAACAGGATTAACCATCAATCAGTCAATTTTGAAGCTGAGTAATGGCACATGGGTGTCCACTATACTGTACTCTCTCCTCTTGCATGAGAAATAGTTCTTTAAAGACTTTGTGTGTTTAAAGAAAAGCACAGCTTGGCCACATCTGTCTGTTAAAATTGTCTTGCAAGATGAGACCCATTTGCCTGACTCATGCTGGGCGCTGGCCCGGGCACTGCCAAGCATGGCTGCCAGGCCGTCACCACACTGTCCTCTTCTGTCCTTGCCTGCAGGCTATGCTAGTGTTCATCATCAGTGGCCTCGTCATCCTGGCTTACTGCTCCCAAGCCAGCAACGAGAGGACCTACCAGGAGGTGGTGTGGGCCGTGTGTGGCAAGCTGACAGGCGTGCTGTGTGAGGTGGCCATTGCTGTCTACACCTTTGGCACCTGCATCGCCTTCCTCATCATCATTGGGGACCAGCAGGACAAGAGTGAGGTTTTCCCCAATACACTGACTCCAGCCCCCGCCATCCCTGGGAATCCTGGGGTGGAGGGAACAGCTGTCACTTACCTGGCCTTCATCTGGAAACCCTCCCTCCAGGCTCCTGGGGCCCAGCGGAGTGGAGGGCCACGCCCTGTGGGGGCCCGCATGACATCCCCTCTTTCCTCCCAATGCAGTTATAGCAGTGATGGCAAAGGAGCCCGAGGGGGCCTTCAGCAGCCCCTGGTACACAGACCGCAAGTTCACCATCAGCCTCACCGCCTTCCTCTTCATCCTGCCCCTGTCCATCCCCAGGGAGATTGGCTTCCAGAAATATGCCAGGTTCGCAGGCCCCACTCCAGCCTGGGCCACACTGAGGCTGTAATCGCAGGCAGCTGGAGACCCAAGGGCTGCTGGGAGCTCTTCTCTGTGACCCCTCACCTGCTGAGAGAGCAGGATTGGGCAGTACGGGGTGAACCAGGGCTCGCAGGATGTCAGGCTTAAGGCCTCCCTTTACTGCCCCCATCAGGGAAGACAGCAGCCATTGGCATCAGTGAGAGGTTCTGTTCCAAAGGTCCTTGTCAAGGAAGAGACTGCTGGTGCCAGCCTGCTAGCCTGGGACTTGGTTTTCCCTGAGAGGTGGGATTTGTGATCCTTTGAGATCATCCGCCTGCCAGTATCTTCCATGCAGCTTAACCTGAAGCAGGACCAGCTTCTTGACATAGTATCCAAAAGACTACAAGCTGTATGCTGTCTTCTAGTTTGTAGAGGAAAGGGTCACACTCAGCAGTCTCCATAGTCCCTGAAAAGTTCACAGTCTGGTCTTTGTATTCAGGCCTTTTACTTCAGCAGATCCTAGTTCTAGGCCTGGCCCAGAGGAAGGGCCACAGGCAGGCCAGAGCTTGGAACCTCTGATTGAAGTTGGGCTTGGAGCCCAGATCTCTGAGCTATGGAGTTTAATTTCACATTTTCCAATGACCAGAAATGCCGGTCAGGTCCCCCGTGGCTGTCCAGCCCCTTCCTAGCTGCAGCAGGTCTTCTGAAGCTGACTTCCCAGGCATCTCTTGAGTCCTCAGTGTTCATTGGACATGTGTGCTCCTTGGAGCTCAGGATGGGGCACCCTGGGGATGCAGTCAGACAGGGGATAGCTGGAGCCAGTGAGGAGGAAGTCAGCTTCTCCTTTCTACAGTTTCCTGAGCGTCGTGGGCACCTGGTACGTCACTGCCATCATTATCATCAAATACATCTGGCCAGATAAAGAGATGACCCCAGGGGACATCCTCACCAGGTGGGTGAGAGGCCCTGGGAAACAGGAGGTGCTGGGTCAGGCATCGAATGCCTCGTGGCCAAATCCTCCCGAAGCTTGTTAGGTCATCAGGCTGGCTTGTAGGTTACTGCAGGAAGGTGGCAAGGGGGTTGGTCTCTTACTATGGGGAAGTGTGAGAGCCAGAAGCAGGAGACTGCCACCGGCATCCGAGAAGTGAGCCAATGCAGGACAGGGCACTGAGCTGTGGAGACGGGTGGGATGCAGCTGCCCGCTTTTCCCACTTGTGTGTATCTTGTTTTGTTTTGTTTGGGTCAGGGTCTTGCTGTGTGGTTCAACATGACCTTGAACTCACTATGTATGCCTTGAACTCAAAGTGATCCTCCTACCTCAGATTCAAGTTATGGGCATATGCCACCAAGCTTGAATCACTTTTTTTTTTTTTTTTTTAAACAGAGCCTATCAGAAAGACAAAGGCCCCAGTCCATGAGCTAGAAATTCAGGATCTTGCTCCCCAAAGGCCCTCTAGATCCTCGTTTGCTATATTGAGGAAATATCTCCTCTCTCTAGTCCTAGACTTACTATGTATTCAGTGTAGAATGCTGGTTGCTAGAGACCATCGTGGGATGAATAAGGAGCACAGGTGTATTTGCTGGTTCTGAGAGGTTCACAGGCGACACACCTTTGTACTTTGTCCACAGGCCAGAATCCTGGATGGCTGTGTTCAATGCCATGCCCACCATCTGCTTTGGATTTCAGGTGCCAGCTGCAAGGTCCCTGCTCTCCCTTTGGCTCACCCCACCCTGGGATAGAATTCATGTTATAAGCAGAATGCGGGAGTCCTGGGAAGAAGGATAAGATGGGTCCCCAGGGCTTCCCCTTGTCCCCAAGCTACCTCCCTCTGGAAACGTAGTGAGGCCACTTTCCTACCATGACCATGAACTTCACCCGACAGTGCCACGTGAGCAGTGTGCCCGTCTTCAACAGCATGCGGCAGCCTGAGGTGAAGACCTGGGGCGGGGTAGTGACGGCAGCCATGGTCATAGCCCTGGCTGTCTACATGGGTACAGGTGAGTGCTCCCTTCCACGGCCCCCTCAAGCCCTTGGGCCCACCTCTCCTGGGGACAGCTCTGCATTCCCAACCATCTGTAGACATCAGTTTGAACTTAGGCTGTGGGGCCACCTCTGACAGAACCAGAGAGGTGTGTCTGCCCCTTGATCCATCAGTTCTGAATCTGTGCTCGGGCAATGCCAAGAGCTGTCCTCAGTGTGAGGACACCAGGGAGACGGGTGGACCTTTTCCTGGCCTGTGAGAGTGCCAGCCTCATTGAAGACAGCTGTACTAGAAAGAAAGCGTAACAGCAATAACTTCTAGGCAGGGGCAGGCGCTGACCTGACAGTGAAGCTGGAAGGCTGGGTGGGACTCGGTAGAGTGGCTTTCACAAAAGGCTACTCTAAAGAGGCAGCTGCACTGGGGAAGGTGGAGGAGGATGACAAAGCCAGAAGAATGTCACAAGCTGGAGAGGAGTGGCACAGACAAGGAACTGCAAAATGCCAAGCTTCTGGGGCAGGAACAGAAAGGAGACCTGTAGCTGGAGTACAGGGAGTTGGGGGCAGGCGGCAGGGAGCCCAGGCAGGTGATGGCAGGAGCTGGCTGCAGTTGGGATCCTGAAGCATGTTACATGGGGACCTGGCTGGGGAAAAGGGCTCTGGCGTAGTGGTGGATGGGCAAGGCAGGGTATCCGAGAATTAAGAAGCAGACATCTGATCAGAGACCTGAAAGACAAGATGGCAGCAGGAAACTCTGAGCAGATCTGTTAGTGTAGAAGTTGTGAGACAGCAGGGTGCCGGCCAAGTTCAAATTCACAGAGGCAGCGGTGCAAGGTTCTGGCAAGGGCACATCTGAGAAGGCACAGGTGGGTGCTGCTCCCAGCTCGATGCCCCCTGAGGCTCAGCGCAAGCATCCAGAGCTGCTTGGCATCTTCTGTGCTGATGTTGCATAAAGCAGGAATTGGCTGTCACCATGCCTGCCCGCCCCTTCCCAGGGTGCCATGACCGGGCCCCCATGTCCTACCCATAGGCATCTGTGGCTTCCTGACTTTTGGAGCTGCTGTGGACCCCGACGTGCTCCTGTCCTATCCCTCGGAGGACATTGCTGTGGCTGTCGCCCGAGCCTTCATCATCCTGAGTGTGCTCACCTCCTACCCCATCCTGCACTTCTGTGGACGGTGAGGCCCCTCCCCACCCACGCACAGCCCCCGTAAGCCCTTCAGCCTGGCCTTTGGCCTTCTGTGAACCCACTGGAAAGAAGCCAATGCCCACAGAAAAGAGTCCATGCCTAGCATGGCAGCCACCAACCCCCAGCTGGGTCTGAAGGGTACTTCTGTCCTGAGCAATCTAAGTCCTGCAAGAGTCTGGGGTCCACATCCTTTCCTGAGGCATCACATGGTCTCCTGGCCTCTTGGAAACCCAAGCCAGTTCCTTTAGAAGTGGACTAACGGTGCTGGTTCCCTTGAGATGAAGCAGAGCCCTGTGCCTTCACCGTCTCATCCGGCCCCCCAGCAACCAAGGCAAGGTGTTATTAGACCCCTGTTGCAGAAGAGGAACCTGAGGTTCTGGCTCCGGGTCTGCCCTGTGTGGGGTCTGGCAGCTATGAGAGCGAGATGGAGGGTCTTATTCGACCTCCCTCCCTGAGCCCCTCCTCTTGTGGCAGGGCCGTGGTCGAGGGCCTGTGGCTGCGCTACCAGGGCCTGGCAGTGGAGGAGGACGTGGGCCGGGAGCGGCGGCGGCGCGTGTTGCAGACGCTGGTGTGGTTTCTGCTCACCCTGCTGCTGGCACTCTTCATCCCTGACATCGGCAGGGTCATTGCCGTCATCGGAGGCCTGGCTGCCTGCTTCATCTTTGTCTTCCCAGGTGCCCTTATAGCAGGGACCCCCCAAGACCCCCAGCCTCCACTCCCCACTGGCTCTAAACCTACCCAGGAACATAGCTTCCTGCACTGCACCCTCAGCAATAGATAGGTACTGGGTTCCACCTGGTGCAGCCCCAAGGGAAAGGGGACTAGTGGAGATGCCCTGACACAGAAGTCAGGAGACCCAACCCTAAGACACAAGTCACTGAGACCCTCAGGACATGCACTGTCCTGTCTGCCATGCGTTTACCCATACTCGTTCCTTCTATCCAGGAGGCCTCTTTGAAAGCCCCTCCCACTTGGCTAGGACCAAGGGAGCCACATGAGCTCAGGAGTGCACTGAGAGGGGCCCCAGGATGTGCTGTCCCTTCTGCTCAGAACCTTGTGTGCAGTCACAGGGTGCTGGCCAGATGTTGACCTGTGCAGGAGAGCAGAGGCCTGGTCTCCAGCTTGGCGTAGAGTATGGAGGACTCTCTCTGTAGGAGTAACCTGGGCCTTTCTCTACCACTACCACAGCCTCTTAGTGGGGCAGGGCTGGGCAGAGGGAGCCCTACAAACCCAAGGCTGTCCTTCTCTTCTAGGGCTGTGCCTCATTCAAGCCAAGCTCTCTGAGATGGAGGAGGTAAAACCAGCCAGGTAAAGCAGGGCCAGTGCGGAAGGGCCTTATCGGGAGGAGGGGCATTGGGAGACTGGAGGGGACCTTAAGAACAGGTGGGAGTTAAGAGACTTGTGAACCTAGTGGGCATGGAGGTGCACACCTGTAATCCCAGCCTTCTAGGAGGCTGAGGCAAGAAGTTCACAACAAATTCAAGCCCAACCTGGGCCACTTAATGACTTAGCAATGCTCTATCTCAAAGAATTGAAAAGGGCCTGGAATGCATCTCAGTGCAAGGGTGCAGGACTCAATCCCTTAGCACTGAAAAAAAAAAAAAAAATCACAAAACTTGGAGTGACACATGCCTATAATCCCAGCTTCCCAAAGGCCAAGGCATAAGGGTTGCAATTTCAAGCCCAGCCTGTATCAAAAAGAGCACAGGGGATATGAATGGCTCAATCCCCAATATTGGAGGAAAAACTAATGAGTCCCAAGTCATGTTCATTTTACTTTGCACGTGACTTCCAGGCAGGACAAGAGTCCCAGCAACAGTCAGTGGCAATGCCCTGTCCCCTATACCTCCTCCTGTGCTGTATACAATAGCTGCTTTTTGTTTTGTTTTGTTTTATAGTTTTATTTTTTTTTAAACATTTATTTATTGTGTGTGTGTGTATGTGTGTGGCCAGCTCAGTCCACCATGGGGTGGGGCGGGCTGGCATGTGGTGCTGGGGGATTGAACCGCGGTCCCTGTGCTTTGCCAAGCTTGTTCCAAGTAGGTGCTTTAGACCACTGAGCCATCTCACCAGCCCCTTTACTTTATTTTTTTATGTATTTAGGACAGGGTCTACAGGGTCTCACTATGTAGATCAGACTCATAGTGATTCTTCCATTTTCAGCTTCTCAAGCACTGGGATTACAGGAACATGCCACTACGCCCAGTTTCAATCACTTTCTCAGCACAGGGCAGGGCAGGCACTGCAGGCTGGTGATCGAACCCCGCCGCTGCGCTCTGCCTAAGCAGGCGCTTTAGTCCACTGACCTGTCTGGCCAACCCTACAATAGCTGTTTCGCTGGGACATGGTAGTGCACGCCTGTAATACCGGCACTGGAAAGACAGGAAAAAAAAGATCACTGTGAGTTCAAGCCCAGCCTGGGCTACACAGTTGAAGGCCAGCCTGTGCTGCATAGCAAGATCCTGTCTCAGAAAACAAAAATAAACCAAGAAAAAGAAAGCAATAGCATTTTAAGTTCCATTAGTCTAGGGGATAAAAAACATCACCCTGCTTTAATAAGCATATTTCCTTGCATAGTAGAGGTTAAAAAAGGTCACATCTTTTAAGAACAATTACTCTGTAATACTTTTTATTAAAAGTAGGGCTGGGTATTTGGCTTAGTGGTAGAATGCTTGTGTAGCAAGCTGGAAGCCCTGGGTTTGGTCCTCGGCACCAAAAACAAATAAACCTCCCCTGAAGAAAACTTAATACATGCCAGGTATGATGGCCCGTGCATGTAATCCCAGTGCTCAGGAAGCCAAGGCAGGGGTATCACTAGTTTGAAGCTAGCCTGAGCTACGTATCAAGTCCTTTCTCAGAAACGAAACAAAACAACATAACACATAAAAAAAGAAACGGGCAAGGGAGATGTCTCAGTGGAATAAGCGCTTCCCTGGCAAGCGTAAGAGTCTGAGTTCAATCCCCGGTTCCACCAAAAAGAAAAAAAAAAAAAGAAACATACCACAGTTATATATAAAGAGGAAAATAGGGGCTGGTGAGATGGCTCAGTGGTCTAAAGCACCTACTTAGAACAAGCTTAGCACAGCACGGGGACCGCGGTTCAATCCCCCAGCACCACATGCCAGCCAGCCATGCCCCCTGGTGGGCTGAGCTGGCCACACAGACACACAGACACACACACACACACACACACACACACACACACACACACACAAATAAAATTTTAAAAAAAGGGACCAGGAAGATGGCTCAGTGGAATAAGTGCTTCCCTGGTAAGCGCAAGGGCTGAGTTCAATCCCCGGTTCCACCAAAAAAAAAAAAAAAAAAAAGAAAATAAACAGTAAGGGGGGGAGGGCAGCATGACAGGCAGCCTGACAGGCAGCCTGACAGGCCTAGGGATTGAAACACCACTCCCCCATCCCACCCCCACCCCCGCCCCCGCCCCTGCACCTGCTTGCAGGTGCTTTAATCTGCTGAGCTATTCGGCCAGCCCCGTTACTGTTTTTGATACCTGTTTGCAGATGTTTGGTTTACTTTTTTTTTCCAGTATTAGGGATTATGCAGGGCCTCACGCATTCTAGGCAAGTGCTAGGCAACCAACTGAGCTACATCCCCGGGCCAGATGTTTGCTTTTTGCTTCTTTTTTTAATGAAATGGGTCACTGCGTGCAGCCTGCTTTTTCCCAAATGTCTTCATGGCAGAAGGTCCGCGTGCTAACCCTGGCATGCTGTGAATGGTCACTTCACCCCATCAGGGCCCAGTCTCCTTGCCTGGCACTGGGGACAATACACCAGGCCTCATGCCCTTTTATAAGAAAGGCCTTGGAAAGTCAGAAGTGCTTTACCAACAGAAACAGTATGAGTAGTTAAAGTGTACGTATGTGTATATGGGTATGCACGTACGCAGGCACGGCTGCAGTCAGCAGCAGGACGACTGATCAGGCCCCTCGTCCTCTCCCATGCAGCTGGTGGGCCTTGGTCAGCTATGGAGTTTTCTTGGTCACTCTGGGAGCCTTCATCTTTGGCCAGACCACAACCAACGCCATCTTTGTGGATCTCCTGGCGTAACCACTGCCTGGCAAGAAGCACATGGCCTCAGCCATTGGACCCAGGAACCTGTCTCTCCGAGCTGCGGGACCACCCCAAATCCAACATCCCTCCAGCTGGTGATGACGTCTGCACATCTCCTCAGGACAGCAGCATCCGGCCCTACACCTGTGGGCTGCTCAGACCCAGCCTCCTTCCGTCGCGGACAATTCCGTGGGTGGTGGCAGAACATCGCGTGTCCTAGAGGGACTTCCATTTCCCAGCTCTCGGTTTCCCCATGCCTGGACCTTAAGGGAGAAGACGGAGTCTCAGGTCAGACAGGGTGGCACATGCCTGAATCCCAGCATTCAGGAGGCTGGGATGAGAGGACCATCACAAGTTCAAGGACAGCTAAGGCTACATAGTGAACAGGGCCAATATGAACTATGTAGCAAGACCCCTTCTCCAAAAAAAAAGCGAGAGAGAGAAAAAAGACCACATCAAAGGGTCTAGCGTCTTCCACCAAACAGCCCGTGCTGCATGCGGGCTATGCTCACCACCCCAGGGCTCGGTGCCTGCTCTAGTCCATCCACACCCATGGCCAGTGGTAGCCAGCAGCCCCTTTCCTGTGGCTAGCTGACATTTGCTAAGTCCTAGGACTCCATCCTGCCTCCTTCCCACACCTGAGAGTCCAGGCTAGGTACCTTGCTCCCTCCTCAGACATCACCAAGTCTAATGTTTACAAATGGTGTAATATAGCTCCTTGGCAGACAGTGCCGCCTGTCTGCCAAGCACAAGGTCTTGAGTTCGATTCCAGGTACCAATAAAAAAAAAAAAGGAAAAAATTTCAAATGGTGCTGGCCCAGCTCTGAAACCAGGGTGCCCGTGCTGTGGTGCTGCGTACTTCTCCGTTGCTTTCCCCATGGGCAGAGGGGAGTCTGCTTTTTCTCAGATTTTCAGAGGCTCCAAGGTGGGTGACTGAGGAGGCTGGGACTCTTTCAGACTCTCCTGGAAGGCTGGGGTGGCCAGAATCCAGGTGCACGTCACACACCGATGTTAGCCATTGCTTCTCTCCCCAGCCAGCCCTGACAGGAAGGATGGCCAAGCGGCCTCAAGAGTGCCCTTCCAAGCTGGATCTGGGCTGCGGCCCTCTTCCTGCACCCCTGTGCTTCAACACTCCATCCCATTTCTCTGTGTAGAGGTTTTTCTTACTTGAGGGTCGGGAAGCCCTCTCCTCAGAGTCCTCAGCTCCCCACTTTATCAGCTCTGTTCTCGGCGGCCACACTGGGTTCAGCACTAGGTTGGGTGCGGAGCTTCACAGCTCTCGCCCGGCTTATGCCTGTGCTATGACCTCTTTGGCTCCTCTCCTGCCCCCACTCACCCTGGTAAATCCCAGGTACAGAATCAGGCTTCCCCAGACCACCCCAGCATTGCCTAGGCCCCTCCTGCCTTCGCTGCAAGAGTGAGCCCCCTCAGCTTGCCCGCAGCTACCCATCAGCCCTAAGAAGTAGCATGGGGTGGGGGTGGAGGTGGGTAAGCAGCCTTTCCTCCCTCCGCCTGGGCCTGGGTCGGGCCAGCACCCTTGAATGCCTTCTCCCAGCCTCCAGCACATCACCAAGCCCTGCAGGACTACAGGAAGGGTGGGTGGGCAGCCCCACAGCCTCCAGCGCTGCGATGGAGGGGCTGCAGTGAGGCAGGGGCGCCCCACAGAAGTGGACTGGACCAGGAAGGAGGAGAGGGAGCCCAGCATCTGGCCTGACCCCAGCCCCTTCCTGCCCTTCCCTGCCCCCTCCCCTCCTCTTTCCATGTGAGTATTTTTTTGTTTCTTTTCCCACACTAAAGAGATGGGAAGTTCAATCCCCGGTTCCGCCAAAAAAGAAAAAGAGGTGGGAAGATGGCTAATAGATGGCTCTGCTGCTGAGCTGTGTCCCGCGTCCGATGCTGGGACAGAGCCCAGGAGTGGCCAGGAGGGAGGAAGGCTAGGTGGAAAGTACAGGTGGCAATCATCAATGACCCCTGTGTGACCCTACGCATGGCACTACCATGCGCCCTTCACCAAGCAGAAGCTGGAGAGCAGCTCTAGACTCCCCTCCTTTCCAAGTCCCCCTGTCCTTCCCTACTGCCTTGGGATGTGACTGTCTCCAGTCCCGCTGCCCCCACCTGACTGCAGCCCTCGCTTTGTCCTTCCTGCGCCTCCATGGCCTCAGACTGGCCTCATGCTGCATGTTCCCACCACCACCTTCTTGGCCGCAAATCTGGAGTACCTAACTCCTGAACACCCAGGGCATTTTTTTCCAAGATGTCTATTGTGTAGCTCCACTGTCCTCACAGCCATTCACTATGCTTAGTGCTAGCAAAGAAAATATTCAGAACAGACCCTGCTGTGCTTCCAGTCTTCCTGGGTGGGGTGGTGACAAGGACACATACACTAGTACCTTATGTAAATCTTGAGAAGGAAAAGGGGGTCCTATGAGGCTGTTAGCTTTCTATTCTTGGAACAAAGTAGTCAAAATAATCAGGAAGGAAAGTCTATTTTGGGTCATGATAGCAGGGCTTTGCATGGCCCTGTCGCCTTGGGCCTGTAGCAATGCAGTGTGCAGTGGTGGGAGCATGTGGAGAGGCCCTTATGGCATCTGAAAATAAGAGGTAGGTAGGGCCAGGATCCCCATAGCTCCTTCAGAGGAACACCTGCAAGACCTCACTTCTTCCAAGTGGGTCCCACCTCTTAAAGCTTCAACACCTTGGCTGGGGTGATGGCTTGGTGGAATAAGTGCTTCCCTGACAAGCGCAAGGACCTGAGTTCAATCCTTGGTTCCGCCAAAAAAAAAAACAAAGTGTTATTGGAGGCCTGCCCCTTAGCTCAGTTCTTTAAGTGGCTGCTTCAACAAAGCAGTCAGGCTCAGGTTGGTGTGGTTCAATCCCCACATTTCAAGCCAGCCAAACCTGCCCTGAAGGCATTCGGAGCAAAAAAAAAAAAAAAAAGCTTCAACACCTTGAGCTCCAAAGCTGGGGACCAAGCCACCAACACATGGGCCTAAGAGGACATTTCCCTTCTAGACTTTCCAGGAAGCAGAGATCACAGCTCTGGCCAAGGTGAGCTCAGAGTAGGAAGGAAACCAGACTCCCCCATTCATACACTGTGCTCACAACATGACACCCACACACGGACGCACTTGGTCAGTGTCTGTCACTCCTCTGGACTGTGAGCTCTGTGGGACCATCCAACAGGCACCTCAGCCCAGGGTGCCACGTAGGAACCAGGAGCTCTGTGGCTGGGAGGATGAGGAAATGAGTGTGCTGAGCTCTCTCTGTGCCAGTGCCTCAGTGTCTCAGCCTCCGCTGGTCCTGGCAAATCCAAAGAAGCCCAGGTGAACAGAGGTAAATGGCCTGTCCAGGGTCAGTCACACGGGCCAATGGAGGGGAGCTGAGAAGCACTCTTACCAGGCACCAATAGCCAAGTGAGCAGAGTGCTCAGCCAACCTGAGGCCTCTGGCCCTGAAGGCAACTGCAGGGAGCTGCCACCCCCACATCGCACCAATGTTGGCCCCTGATCCCCCATGTGTGCTCTTCCAGCTAGTTCAGTTCAGGAAAAGAGCCCGCTGCCTGGTGGCTCTGGAAAGGCTTCACCTCTCCAGGCCTCTCTCTGAAGTGGAAGGGGGATCACAGAACTTACTTGCCTTACAGGGAAAAGGGAATCAATGTTTAAAAAAAAAAAAAAAAAAAAAAGTGCCTGAGGTAAGCACACTTGTAAACTCAGCTATTCAGGAGCCTGAGGCAAGAGGATCTCAGCACAGCAATGTAACAAGACTTGGTCTCAAAATAAGTGTT